GCGAATTGTGAGAGAACCTTAAATGCTCTCTCCTCTTAGAGACATGAAGGGCACATCACCCTCCCAGCACATTGTTTCATTCACTGAACAGGAAGTTCCATGAGCTTTGGTGTCCAGAGTTTTTATTGAGATTTCATTACATAGGCATCATTGAGCCACATGGCTGAACTCAATCTCCAGCCCCTTCTTTGGAGGTTGGGCTGGCTCAAAGCCCCAATTCTCCAAGGACATAGTTGATCTTTCAGTGATGAGCCCCCATCCTAAGTCATCTCATCTCCTAGCAGAAACTCAGGTGTAATCCAAGGGGCTCATAAATAACAAAGACACTCCTATTACTTGGAAAATTCCAAAGATTTAGAGTCTCTTGCCCAGAAACCAGGGACAAAGGCCAGTGAAATCCCATCTATATATATAAAAAGCCCATGACCGGAATGCTGTAACAACCAGAACGACAGGTCACTATGATGCCCACTGCGGCCAGCGAACCAGCCCCATCAGGGGTGGAGCCAGCTGGTCAACCTCCCGCAGCCCCTCCCCCACCCACTGACTCCTGATCGGTCCCCCTCACCCCAAACAAGGGCAGGGCCCACCAGCCAATTGCCCTCTGCTCCTTCCCACAGCCAGCCTGGCCCTGATCCGCCCAATCAGGGCAGGCCAGCTGGCCAACCCCCTGTCTCCTCTTCCCACAGGCCCGGCCTGATCCGCCCCAATTGGGGCCGGGCCAGCCGGACCCCACCTGTGCACGAATTTGTGCACTGGGCCTCTAGTATCATATAACAGAAGGGAAGAAAATCCTGGACATAAAGAATGAAAGCTTCAGAGGGCCATAAATAGACAACATCTACAGCCTCACACAGGCTCACACACACACAGTCACAGGACCATCATGGACTCCCTCACTATCATTCTTCTGCTCGCTCTCCCCCATCCAGCCTCACAGTCTTACACAGGCTCCACACAAGCAGAAAGACTCTTGCAACCCATACACTCATTGCTTCCAAAGATTCTGCACATTTGTCCATCTCTAGCTGTCCCCCAGGGCCTCCTGCACAGCACCGCTCCTCTCCTCAGCATACTGATTTCTAGGTCTCCCTTGGAAAGGATAGAGGGTAAATGGTCAGATGAGGGGCACAGCTGGGATCTGGGAGTCTGTGAAGGGGACCGTGAGTTCAAGTCAACACCCAGATCCAAGTGTGTCCATGAACCTGAGAGTACGCATGTACCAAATGGATGTGCCCTTGTGACTGTGTGTCTCTGTGTACCATGGTATACCTGTGCATCGTGTGTATTCCTATACAATCTATACATGGGCTTCTGTGGTGTGGGTACCTATGTGATGTAGATGTGCCTGTGCCCCAGGTGTTCCTGTACATGTCAGTGCCTGAATGGGTCCAGGGGCCTCTAGCTGTCCTTCTCACTAGAGGCTCTGTCTCCTCTAGCTTGATTTCCAGAGGAAAAGAGAACAGTGTACATTGGGAGGAGGAGGGGAGAGAAACACTAAAGCTATGGCACTGGACACAGGTATCCTGAATTAGTCAGGGCTATGAGCTCCCCCACCTTATAGTCCCTCAAGCCCTAAACTAATACCCACTCGCTCCCAGTTCTGTGTGCCACAACCCTGAGGACACTGTCTCTTGGTGAACCAACACCCAATTCCTGAGAACATTGGTGGTGTCTTTTGTTGCTATCTCCTCCTTGAGGACTGGCTGCCAGGAACCATTCTCCTGTGAGTGGGGGCTGGAAAGTAACCTCCTCTCCTCTCCTAATCACCTTTTATCACCATCTTACCTTTCTTCTCCTTGAGGAAGACTGGAGCACAGCTTCTCCTCCACACCTTGCTGAGCCTCTTCCCACATGGAAGCCCCTGAAACAGGTTCCTTGGTGTGGTCCTCAGTTTCTACCCTACACACCCAGACCTTCCAGGAAACTGAGTTCCAGAGTTGCTCTATTCTCTCCGACCTCTGACTCCAAGTTCACCATGCTGGAGCATGCCCCCCCCCCCAGACCAGCCCTGGGGGGACCACATCCAGAGACTGCAGAAGAACTCTGCCAAGGCAAGCCTGCCCTCTCCAGCCCTGCCTCCTCCCTCTGAGCTCCTGCCCAAGACCCCAGCCCATAACTTTGCCTCTCCTTCCTCCCCCAGAACAAGTGCCCCAGCATTTAGCCCGTGAGAGCTCCAGAAGGAGCCCCATGACCGAGGGAAGGGATGTGAATCACTGCCACCCTGGGGACCCAAGGATCAGAAGAGTGAACCAGACCATCAGCTCCTCTGCACCAGACCTGACAAAGCTGGGCAGGGCCTGGAGTGTGAGTGTGAGTGTGAGTGTGAGTGTGTGAGGGTATGACTGGAGCACAGCTTCCCCTCGACACCAGACTGCAATGCTCCAGTAAAGCCCAACGGGCACCCACAGATCTATCTGTCACCTGTCTGTGGCCCAGGCAAGGCAAGACAGGTATGAGAGGGAGGAAGGGTGGGATGCAGGGAGAGAGCAGATGTTTCCATTCTCTACACTTCAGGCTGAGGGAACTTTCACTTCACTCGTTTCTAGTCACTCTCTCTCCTACAGTCCAGCCACAAAGCTCCGGTCCTTCCTCCAAAGACCATCTGGGGCAGCTATTTTCAACCTCCCACACTTGGCTAATTGCTCTTTCTGGGCTCTGTCACAGCACCCTAGCCAGTCTTCCAGATTTATTGTAATTATCTGATTGTCTATTTCAAACCACCCCCCCCATCTCCAACCCAGATGAGAAGCCCTCGGAGGGTGGAGACTGTGCCTTTCTCCTCCTCCTCCTCCTCCTCCTCCTCCTCCTCCTCCTTCTTCTTCTTTTCAAAATTTATTTTAGAGAGAGGAAGGGAAAAAGAAATATTGATGTGAGAAACATTGATCGGTCGCCTCCTGCACACACTGACCTGGGTATGCGCCCTGACCGAGAATCAAACCTGCCACCTTTTGGTGTACAGGACAACGCTCCAGCCGAGCCACACCAGCCAGGGCCGTGCCTGTCCTTTTTACAGTTGTATCCCCACACCCAGCACAGTGCCTGCATGTAACAGGCACTCAGTAAATATTTGTTGATTGAATGACTGTAGGAACAAAAATCACAGGAACGTAGGTCTCAGCTCAGATAGGAAGGGCTTTGACCCTCTGGCCATTAAGCCAAGGCCACTCATCCGAGAAGTATTTTCATAGCCTGGCCTGTCTAGACTGAGCCCTCTCTGGAGGCCTATTCCTCCTCAGCCTGGGGTCAGACGAGTAGAACAGGACAGACAAGAAAGGCCATCGTCAGGGCAGAAGCCAAGGAGATTAAGAGGAGAAGAGGGAATTGAGGAAAACAGCACTGGACAGCGTCTCAAAGCTCTTTTCTTTTTTTTTTCTTTTTAATATATATATTTTTTATTGTTGATAGTATTACAGACATCTCCCACCCACCCCCCTTTTTATCCCCCTCCCCAAAGCTCTTTTCTTGCTGCCTATTTCTGAGGTCTCCATCTCCCAGGGTAGAACTCCAAAATCTGACTCCATCCTTATAATAGACTCTATTAAATAGAGAGTCCAGAGCCTCGCATCTTGGCAATAAATGCCTCCACCTCCTAGTGACACTTTGACCCCGCCTCCTCTGAAGAAATTCTCTAGCCCCGCCCCTTCCGGGCAAAGGGAGCCCCGCCCCCGGTGCGTGGAGTCCCTGTGACGTCACGGTAACGGTCTGTTTCCGGGGTGGAGCCGGGGAGGGCGGAGTTTAGGCTGCGCCGACCCCTCAGCCCCCCTCCAGGTGATCCAGCCCCCGAAAATCCTCACCCGGGGCCCCAGATATCCCAACCCCATGACCGCAAAGCCCGCCGCCCTGACCCCCTAAATGCCGCAGGCCCCTGCGGCGACCGACCTCCTAGTTCCATAACGTCTCGCGCCTCCGAAACCTTCAGCCCCACCCCTCCCCGATGTGCAGCTGAGCCTCCCCCGGGGCACCCGCCGCAGGTGCCCCGAGAGCAGGTCACACGGATCCGGAGAATGACCGAGGAGGGGGCCGGGGGCTGGGAAGGACTAGATCCGATCATTCCGCCCCCCAGGAGACGTTCGGAGCCCGAGACATGTCGGGATTGAGGAGATACGAGGTGGCGCTGGAGGCGGAGGAGGAGTGAGTGGGGGCGGGTTCTGCGGGGGAGAAGCTAGC